CAGACTCTGATCTGTAAATTAACAGTAAATTTTCAATGCCATTATAACCTGAACTTCTGTTTTACTTCCATTACTGATTTACTCTACATTTTTACAGAACCTGAAACTAGCAAAATGACAAAGTAACCTAGTCTTCACAATTTCTGATTTTTCCTCTTCTGCTTTATGTTTATTATTGACTTTTTTGCCCAGTTACATAAAAGGTCTACGTTCTCATATTTCCACTTAAAATTATTTGGGGGAGAAAGGGAATTATTCACAATTATTTTCTAAACTAAAGCTCACTACAGGAGCTTATAAATTTATGCTTAAACATTATTCAAAAAAAAAAAAACTATTTGGGTCTAGATATTAATACTTGAAAAATTATCAATTGTATTACTTTAGACTCTAGCCAGGTCGTTTTTTAGATTAAAACATGGGTGTTTGTTGTTAGTGCATGAGTGTGTGTGTGTGTTTAAATAGAAAAAAAAATCGTTGTAACTCGCCATGATTCTACACACACACAAACCACACATACACACAGGTATACATCCGTCAATATCAGGTCGTATATTTGGTGTTTTCTTTACTCTTCTTTTCCTGTTTTGATGGAATCACGTTGTGGAACATGTACTATGCTCAACTCATCAGCAAAGCCTTTCTCTTAACTGCGTCGTGGCACAGGATTTACACTCTAATCCTTGCTTTATAATGTTAAATTTCTACCACACGCTTTCTTATGTTGCCTTTTACTTGACTTTGATGCCATTTTCCTCCAATTTCTTTCCACCTCAACACTGCAAGAGGTACCACACACGCATAGAGCAACACTTCAGGTCTCTGGGCAGAGTTGAGGTTGGCACCCGTCTTTCCCTCATGCACTGGGTTCGGGTGTACATGACACAACCCACTGGAGGGGGAATACGGGCCGGCTGAGCTCCAGAAGACCCTGGAAGAGGTATGTTTCTTCTCATCCCACGAAGTATCATCCCCTACTCTCTCCTTTTTCACCTGCGTGCTTACCCGGGTCCCCAACCTCTTCCGCACGTGCCCAGTGCTGAACCACACGCTATTCTCTGCCGGGAGGTCCCTGCATACGGCAAGAAGGTTTCCCCGGCAGATTCGGAAACCGAGATACGACTGACTGCGCGCACCCCCACGCCCGGGTCTATTATGCTGCAATACAGAAAGTTTCCACCTGCCCCGAGACTCGCGGGGACTGCGGGGTCCGGCCGGAGCGCGGTGGCGAGGCTTTTCCCTGAGCGTTCGGCCAAATGGGGAGGGAGGGAGCGAGGGAGGGACGGATGGCACCCGGGAGCGGACCCGCGCGGCGGGAAAGGGACTCACTGTGAAGCAAACTGCGTCCATAGATCATGTCTGTTCGTTACACCAGAGGCTCCGATCTCCACTAATTCCATTTAGAGACGGGAAGACTTCCAGTGGTTGGGGAGAGGATGGAGTCGAGAGATTTTCAATATGCAAACCAAGAACAAAATAAAGGAGGGAGAGAGAGAGAGGAGAGAAGGAGATCCGAGCCCCCACAGCAGCCAGATCCGAATCGGTCCGTCCTCCGCCCCTGGCTCGCTCCCGCTGTCGCTCGCTCTCTCACCGCCGCGAAGCCAGCATCCCCACCATGACGCTCGCATCACACCCGGGCGCCGATCGCCACCGCCAGCGCCGCCGCCGGCA